AAAACGAGTACAGTGGGCTTGATGAATTACCAGAAATAAATAAATTATATCAAAAGCTTATACCATTTTTAATTAATTTATTAAAATTTAATTTGGGAAACTTTTCTGAATGTTGTTTTGCATTAAATGATAATATTGTATGCATTTCCTTTAAACGTTTATTTTTTATATTTATTTTTAAAATATATCAAGTTATTTAACTAAAATAATAGTTGGAATGCAAAATAACTCAGAGAAACATTAGAAATCAATAGGATTACATTGATACTTGCTTATAATAATATAGATTTCCAATTGTCCCACTGTCAATAAAAGGGAAACAAATTTTCCAAATGGAATGCTCCCATTATGGAATATCAGTGTATAAAGTGGGGTTTCGAATAAGGAGGACAGCAGCAACGTCATCGTTTACACAACGTACCGCAATCGCTAAAAGTGGCTGTGCAGAGAGAATTGGCAAATACAGGGGGTTGGGGGTGTGGTTCTGAACTAAAATCAGCGAGACAGGGGAAACGGAAAGAATATTTGGCCAAGGGCTTAAAGGGCTTTAAAGTGTTCCCTATCATGGCCCAGACGACCACGAAGGAAGGCCGAGTATGGCGTCATTAGCAAATATTTGGGCAGGCCCAGGATATCGTCGTCATAGTTGTCCTTTCTTTTCTCTCACCGCCTATTGATTGTGGCCCCATGTATGTATGGGCTTTCGAGTAAATCAAATGTTACATTCAGTTTCCTGGGCTCATGCCTTTTTTTTACAGTCGTCCAATCGAATCGGCATTCAGTGAATCGAACTCGAACTGGCCGAAGGTGTCAACTCGCATACTCATCATTTGGTTGTGCTCTGTCTTTTCAGGTAATGGAGAGGCGTCCTGGTGCTTCTCACAGATTAAAGGCGCCCTAGACGATGATGTCACGGATGCGGACATCATATCCTGCGTGGAATTTAATCACGATGGCGAGCTGCTGGCCACTGGTGACAAGGGCGGTCGCGTCGTCATCTTTCAGGTGAGTGTGTGGGGGTCTTTTATGCAACCATTACTCAATCATAAACTAAACAAATCCCTCAATTACAGCGTGATCCTGCCTCAAAAGCCGCCAATCCGCGACGCGGCGAATACAATGTCTATTCGACATTCCAATCGCACGAGCCCGAGTTCGACTACCTCAAGTCGCTGGAGATTGAGGAGAAGATCAACAAGATTCGGTGGCTGCAACAGAAGAATCCCGTGCACTTTCTGCTCTCGACCAACGACAAGACGGTCAAGTTGTGGAAGGTCAGTGAGCGCGACAAGTCGTTCGAGGGCTACAACACGAAGGAGGAGAACGGCCTGATCCGGGATCCACAGAATGTGACGGCATTACGCGTGCCCTCCGTGAAGCAGATACCGCTGCTGTGGAGGCATCGCCGCGGTCGCACCTTCGCCAATGCACACACCTATCACATCAATTCAATTAGCGTTAATTCGGACAGAGACCTTCTTGTCGGCCGACGACCTGCGCATCAACCTCTGGCACCTGGAGGTGGTTAACCAGAGCTACAACATCGTCGACATCAAGCCAACCAACATGGAGGAGCTAACGGAGGTGATCACGGCGGCCGAATTCCATCCGACCGAGTGCAATGTGTTTGTGTACTCGAGCTCCAAGGGCACAATACGATTATGTGATATGCGATCGGCGGCGCTATGCGACCGGCACAGCAAACAGTTCGAGGAGCCCGAGAATCCAACGAATCGCAGTTTCTTCAGCGAAATAATCAGCTCCATCAGCGATGTGAAGCTGAGCAACTCGGGTCGCTACATGATCTCCAGGGATTACTTGAGCATCAAGGTGTGGGATCTGCACATGGAAACGAAGCCCATTGAGACCTATCCGGTTAGATTTGCATATTCTATTGTATAACTCAGGACAAGATTATATAATGTATCTCCCTTTATTCTATGTAGGTCCATGAATACCTGCGCGCCAAGCTGTGCTCGCTGTACGAGAACGACTGCATCTTTGACAAGTTCGAGTGCTGTTGGAACGGCAAGGACAGCTCGATAATGACCGGAAGCTACAACAACTTCTTCGCGTGTTCGACCGCAACTCGAAAAAGGATGTCACGCTGGAGGCCTCGCGGACATTATCAAGCCGAAGACGGTGCTCAAGCCACGGAAGTTTGCACTGGCGGCAAACGGAAGAAGGATGAGATCAGCGTAGACTGTCTCGACTTCAACAAGAAGATTCTGCATACCGCCTGGCATCCGGAAGAAAATATCATAGCCGTGGCTGCGACTAACAACCTATTCATATTTCAGGATAAATTTTAGCCAACACTCTTCACAAGAACCACACCATACGCCACAATCACACCAGCAACTATAACTACACAAGAAACACCAAGAACTACGAACACGCCTCATTCTAATGTTAAATCTTTCAGTTTGTTTCAAAGCGTTTTCAAATTTCACTTGCAATTAAATTGTTCGCCTAACACCATTACCTCGCCCTCTTCCCTTCTGCCCCCCAAAAAACAATCTAACATCATACATAATGCCATAGCAAAAGCTTTGTAATGTATTTTTGCGCTAACTGCGTATAACGAGAAAAGGAAAACCAGAAACTTAAGAGAAGGAAACAAATTTTTATACATAACATTTATAAATAGTGAAGCGTAAATTTGATTTCTTGTAGCGCAATTCAAAAGAAACCCACAATAAGAGTAATATTTAATGATAGCTATTGATTTTCCCAAACATTTTTGTATAATTAGCGCAAGCGCCGAAGTATTTGTAATAAAAGATAATAATATACAACATTAAAAAAATCACATTAAATGCATATTGTAATATTTTTCTGATCGCTTGTTAAGTTTACGATGAAAAGAAGAAAGTCAAGAATCATATGCGCCCTGTTTGCTCTTCTTTATAAATATAGACTAAACACGAATTTTCGATTGTTTATTCGTTTGACAATGTTCATTCCATGCAAAAAGAGACGATACGCCTCGAGCTTATCGATCGACTATGTCTCATTTTAAATCTCATCAACAACGTCAGGTCAGCAATCGAACAGCCGGAAGTTGTCTCAGTCAAACCAATTTAAAATGCTCATTTAAACACTGTAATTCACTAAGAATCCAATGCTGGACCACAAGGCAGAAGTCAAAGAAGAGGCAAACGCGGAAAAAGTATGAAATAAATGCATTGATAAGTATGCATCGCAGTTAAAAAATACATACATATACATAACAGAAAAAAATCGCAGCCTAAGTTTAAAATACAATTTAGTGTTCTCAATTCGTTTAATTTAATATCTATCTAAAATGAGAAAAAAAGAAACAACACTATTTTATACGCTACATTTAAGCTAAGTATTGCTACTTTTAGTTCAACTATGCGTGCGTGCGTCCAAGACCAATTCTCACATATAGTCTGCCTGCCCCTAGGCCCCCCCCTTTTTCATCGGTCAACGACTTTTCCAGCCTGTTTATTGTTTTGTAAAGATTCTTTTACCCATTGTCATGTTTTCCATAAAGAACTATAAACAAAACTGAACCATTTTTATAGGTTATCTAGTGTCTAGTGTTAAAAAAAATACAAAAATATATATAAACACAAACCATAAATGAAAGTAAAAGTAAACAAACGATGCGCTGAAAATGTTAACGAAAAAACTCTGAAAATGTACGGCAGCAAGTTCAAAACACTGAAATGTAAACGCATAAAATGATGAAATAAAAACTAAAAAAACATAAATTGTGCTTCTTATGAGAATAATGATACATTAATAATATTGTATTTTCAATAAACTAGTTATACGAGAACGAAGAGTGCAGCGGAAAAGCAGATATAGAAGAGAACCTTAATTGTTTAGAAAATAAGAAATCATTAAAAATTGGTTTAAACCCTGAGTGAAAATGCGAATTTTTTGCCAGATTTTCGATACAGCTGTTTTTTGGTTGCAAAATTCATATTTTCGGTTGACCCTATTATTTAATTTTGTTTGCAACGCACATCTTTATTCATTAATCTTTGACATGCCTTTTTGTAAATAAAATCACAACCACAAAAGAGATAACTTAAAACGTCAGAACATTATTCATTAAATGAAATAAATCCAAAGCAGTCGAGTAGAGAAACTGTTGCAATTGCTGTTCATATAAAAACGCAGTCGGACAACAAATTGCAATTGATTAGTTTTAAAAACATTAATTGATTGCTATTTCAAAATAAAGATCTAATAAAGCAAACTTAAGGATAAAGTTTTAGTTTTGCAAGCAAGAAAATTGAGAGAATAATACAAATGTGTTTTAGTAGGGAAGAAATGGGATAAATGTATTAAATTACTAAGTCTAAGCTTATTAAGGACTATATTTATGGTCAACTCAAGTGGTCTGCAACTAAAGATAACCATTGTCTACAACTGTACCCCTGAAAGTTTTGAGTACAGATCGGTACTTACGCCCTTTGAACATGAAATCTTAAGTTTATAAGAATAAGTGTTCTTAAAATTTTTTAATTTTCTTTTAAATATGTTGTTAAGAGGAATTGCTCATTAATTTAAATGTCCTTGTTTTGAAATTGATTTTTGTAAATGTTCGTGGTCTACCCAAAATCTTTTTTCTTGCCAATCATTGAAAATAATTAAATTCAAATATTTTCATTTAAATTTTTGCTTGTAAACCAAATGTTTAAGGGGTTGTCTCTATATTATGTTATTTTGAAATGGAAATTAGGAATATTCTCATTTTATAATATTTTCCCAAGTTTTAAAGCTCTTGAGCACACCTCGCATATTCCGAATACGCAGTAAGTACCGTTAGAGACACTCTAGGCCATTTCAATGCCAATCACGCATGCGCGCACTGCTGAAAAGAGAGGAATGAGAGCAATGCTCTCTGGACATGCCAAGACAAGACGTTGGAACTCCCGAAAGAAACCCAAACCGAAATAACGGCGGCTCAAAGTCTCAGTTTACTCCGATCGGTTGGACAGTGCGGTTCGTTTTTGATTTTGGCTTCACAGCGGGGCCAAAGAAAAGTAAAGAGTATAATCGCCGGAACTGCTGCCTAAACCTGTTTTGCCCAAGTGAACACAACAACAAAAGCAGCGAAAACGCATGCAAGTGACGAAACGACCTTAAGCAAAGCAAGAAATAATTATAAATAATTTACTTGGCTCTCAATTGAATATATCTTACATATATATTTGTAAAGCGCACATCCTCGGTGACGCAGTGGGGCCCAGGAAAAGCCCAAAATGCAAATTGCTGCGGCGTGACTAAGCATGCAAGATAACATCGATTCAAAAATTAAAAATTTTTTAAACGTGGCTTAGGAAGTGGGAGTGTATAAAACAAGACCGGGCCAACGAAAGAAGCAATACAATGACATTGGGCAACAAAGGCGTCGGCAAAGTTCTTTGTCTGCGATTGCAGCGCCAATTATTACTGGTTGTTGTAACGCTTTTCCTGCTTTTCACCGCCGCCCGTGAGTTTAAAAAACCAATTAAATTGCAATCTTTAAAAATAACAAGAAAAACAAAGAAAACTGCAAAAGAAAGAGAAACTTTTATTAGAGTTACGCTCGAGACGGGGCGAAAACAAATTCACTTCGTGTAAAACTAGAGAAACTGGTCTAGTCTTGGATCTGTCTCGCAGGCTCCCGCCAGGGGCGCCACCTGGCCCAGTGGCAGTAAATCAGAATCCGAATCGTTGGCTTATTAGTCAGAGCGAAAATTCAAAACGAGTTTGTTGTCACAGTCTTTCGTTTTGCGATTTGTTTTCTTTTGATTTTGGATACCTTTTACCGGCCTTGAGCTTTTTTTTTTTTACAAAAATTCTTATTTAATTAGTGGCCGAGGACGAGGAGGAGGATGGTCCGTATCGCGGAAAGTACCTGGGAAAACTGAACTCGTACCATCATCAGGTGTCCGGCGATGTGTACGCCGTAAATGAGTACACCTTCTTGATTGTGGGCTTCAACTATGACGGCAACGGGGCGGATACGTTCTTCTGGTCGGGGGCCAGCAATCGCCCGGGACCTCAGGGATTTATTGTGCCCGATGAGTACGGAAAGTAAGTATTATTGAACAAGTATTTAAATTGTTTTTATTTTTTATCAATAAATAAAAGCTATTTGCCTTTGACAATCTTTGATCCGATATGAAAAATAACATGGTACCAATAGGAATAGAAGTCCAGATATATACAACATTGTAAATTACATTGTTTAGATATGTACCATAAAAACATCTCTTATGTTAATTTTAAACTAGTCGTCCAATTATTTGAGTTATGAATGTTTTAACATTCGTTTTTCAGAAATACTTATTTGTTCCAAATGGTTTCATAAATCATAATTCAAAAAATCTATTCCAATCACAATAACGCGAAATCTATTTATAACATTGTTGAACATATATAAAAATAATTTTCAAACCGTAGAACCAACATTCTGGATCGCTATCACAACAAGGACTTCACCCTGACACCTGCCCGATCGAAAAAGATAACCGAAATCAAATGGCTGGCGGTCTACGATCTGAGCAGTCAGAACAACTTTGGGGATGTCTACATCCCCGAGGAGTTCGAGCCGCCTATGGCCCAGTTGGGCGGAACCTTCTCCAAGCGCAGCCACAATGTGAGCAGCAGCAGCATCGAGATCCTGGACTCGAAGACTATTCGCATCACGGACTTCACCTACGATGGCCGTGGCAAGGCACCTTTTCTGGACGGGAGTGGGGGCACAGCCATCTAGTCGAGGAAGCAAGCTGCCCGATGAGCGAGGATAGTAAGTATTTAAGAGAGGTAATATCTTATTACTAGTTTATTTTGCTTATGAACTATTCAGCCTGGATCCCATAAGGATGTACAACAAGGAGACTATTGAATTGGAGCTCCGGGAGACAAGACCATCTTTGACATCGATTGGATCAGTATTACGATGTGGCCGATAACGAGAACTACGGCCATGTCCTGATCAACGATGGCTGAATGTCCTCCCTCCCTGGTGAAAGTTACGCCTTTCGAGTTCTCACTGCCCAATTGCCGGCAGCTGCACAAGGACATGCAAGTGTCCTGGGAGGTTTTCGGACCACAGATCACATTTCAACTATCCGGTCAGGTGGCTGCCAACGATTACATGTCCTTCGGCATATCCGGATCAGATGTGTCCAGTCAGATGATTGTTCCGATGTGGTTGTGGCCTAATTGACGAAATCCGCGGTTACACCGTGGATTACAATATCACCTCGCTGGCGCCCTGCGTTCAGGTTTGGGCCCAAAACAAGGGAGTTTGCCGGGACGATGTGGTCGGTGGATTGGATAGCTTTCAGTTGAACACATATAGCCGCAAGGATGGCATCAATACGATCAGTTTCAGGCGAACCCTTAAGTCGTGTGGGTTAAAATCTTATTAATATATCTTTTACATATTAATGTAAGTAACGACTTTTTCTTTATTTTAGCTGATGATGGCGATAAGGAGATCTTTCTAGATCGCAGCAACTACGTGGTGTGGGCATTTGGCCAGTTGGATTCAAACAACGAGCCCGCCTTTCACACCTACTATCCCAAGAGCGATATAGTAATTGATTTTAATACCACGGAACCGGTCAACGATTGCTTTGCCTTCACTAAACAAATGGAGACACCTCCGCCTCAGTTGTGGGAGCGAACCAGGATTACAGATGCGTAAGATTCAGATCTTTAAAAGTAATGAATTACTAATATAGCTAACGAATTGTTTTTAGAACTGTACGCACCTTCAATGCCTATTTGGGACCCTCTGGAGGACTTCGTGGCTATCAGGGATTAACTGGTCATGTGTCCAGCGGCTTGGCCTGGTACATCAATGGCTATATGATCCCAGAACTTTACCTAAAGCGCGGTCTGACCTACACTTTTAAGGTCAGGGTGGTAATAATCCGCACTCGCCCGAGCACTATCATCCGTTGGTTATCACCGATGATCCTCAGGAGGTTTTGATCGATTGTCGGATGCCAAGCAAAGTGAGATTCGTGTACTGGCTGGAGTGGAATTCACCAGAAGAGGCAGGCCCAAGCCCACAGCAGCTGGTCCCCTTTGCTTGTCGAGATATCCTCCGAGCTATGATCGTCGTCTCGATGATAACTTCCCCACTTTCAAGAAGTTCAATCGATCGCTGATCACCGAATGTGTGGATGAGGCACCGGCTTTGTTGGAAATCACACCGAACATCACCTGGCCGGATACCGTGTACTATAACTCCTTTACCCATGGTAATATGGGCTGGAAGATTCACATCGTGGACAGCTACACCAATCTAAGAAGCGGGGCGAAGGCCTTATCCTGGTCTTTAGCATCATTCTGCTGCCTTGGCTGGTGCTTCAGAACTGACTGTTTTTCTCATTCTTAGATTCTCCTATTTAGTGTCTTAGTCTAAATTAAGCAGTCACAATCTATGTATTTAATACGCGTGTGTAGAATGTATGCTCAACGTTGTGTATATTATTATTTAAATGATATTTAAATACAGAACTGTGTTGTACTTTAGAATGAATTAGCTTGTTTCTGAGTTTTAGAATAGAGATCTAAGGATGTGTATTGTTTGGCACTTAATCTAAGTCCTTGATCAGAAATATGACCATAGAAAGGTATTGATAACCTTTTCTTATAAATCACTTTGGCCGGCAGTCCACGTAGTGACGAAGCGCACTAGGAGAGTGTGCGAAGGCGAATACTATGTATATACACACGAAGAAATTAAACTCTGATGTGATGGTCCGATCGTAACGAGTGATACACATTGAAAGGTATCGCATAAACTAATGGATAGCATACCCATACTTTTAAAATTGTAATTGTTTGGGAAAGAACGCAGTTAAAGCTCGTTGGTGATAAATGCCCAGTGTATTCTTATTAGAAATACGCGTCGAATGACACCTCAAAACTATGACTCGATTCTACGATTCGACTCTATGATTTGATTCTATAATTCGACTCTATAATTCGACTCTATGATTCTACTCTATGATTCCATTCTATAATTCAATTCTATGATTCGATCGATTTACATTTATTTGAATTATTTCAGTTTTAGTTGAGACGAAGACAAATGTGACTCAATTTGATATAAATGACAATGAAAATCGATCTATAATTTAATCGCTTCTGCTTCTTGGTAAGATTTCCCTTCAGGGAAATACGTTCTTTCTAAAATGCAAAACTATGGCATTTCATAAGTCTCCTTCAGATAATTAGTCTGGTGTATATATAGAACGAACATCATTAGCCGTTCGATTCGCCGATGGGCTTGCTCCGTTGACGGCTCCTGTTGGACCTCGCCTGGTGGTGGCGGCGCGGCACGCGCTCTCATGCTCCGGGAGCGATAGGTCCTGCGGCTGCGCTGGTTACGTCTGGGCGGGTGCTTCCCGGAGACCGCTGAGGAGCAGGACCCCTCCTGCGTCGGCTAAACCGGGGGGGAGCTACTCGGAGAACGCTGACGGGTCCTACGCCTACGGTGACTGCTCGACGAACGACCCCGATGACCCCTATCTCGTGCGACCGCGTCGGGTTGCGAAGGGATCCTGGGACGAGCTCTACGTTGTCGCTAGTCTCATAGCTGGTCTGGAAGCGACCGCTCTGTAGTTAAAGGAATTATAGATAAGTCATTTAATAAATTTAAGTATAAGGTATTGAAAAATGAAATAATCTTTTAAGGCCTTTACAAATTAAAATCACAAAAAATGATTATTTTCGGATTATGGTAATTACTTACTTCGTAGTCATATTTTACCACTATTTTTAATTCCATGGTAAATGCACACAGAAGAATGAATGTGTATAGAAATTCCAGACTATTCCCTGTCACTCTGGTGCGGTATAGAAAACGTTTCGATGTTTTAAGAAGCAAACATCGATTTGACAACAATATCGACGATTCCTTACTTCTACCCTGTGTGCCATTTTCTCGGAAGTCCGGCAGCTACATAATGATATGCAAGTATCCTGCGAGTTTTTCAAGTTCCAGATCACTTTTCAACTATCCGGTCAGGTGTACCACAAGGACTTCGGAATCTTCGGATCAGATGTGTCCAGTCAAATAGTTGGTTTCGATGTGGCTGTGACAAGATCCTGGTTACACCGTAGAATTACATTACCTTGCTGTCGCCGGGCCGAACACACTGTATATTAATGTTTGTAATGGTTTTTCTTATTTCAGCTGATGACGAAGAAGATCCGGGATTCAGTTCAGTTGGATTGTATAAACGAGCCCGCTTTTTCTCACTTAAATATGTACTATGATATAGTAATTGATTATACCCTCACAGAAAGAAGATTGGCTGCTTTTTATACTACTACTTTTTATAAAATGATATTTAAACACCGAAATTTGTTTGTACTTTAGAATGACTAAGCATGTTGTCAAATATAATAGCGGAATTCTCTGAAAGTATATTATAATTTAATCAAAAAGACGACACCTTTGATAGATCCTTAGATCCGAAACTGAACCGTAGAACCGTTAACACATCCCTAGAGATCACTAAATAACTAAAGTACGATATTATCTGATGGGAACTTCTCTTTTTCGAAGGATTTACATTTATTTGAAAAATTCAGTTTTGGTTTGTAGACTGGCAGACTTAGGATGTAAATTGCGAAGCAAATCATCCACGTGTCCACAAAAGCATTTAGGACTTGGGTTCTGTCTTCTTGCGTGGTACTGGCCTTCCGTTCTTCCAGGGAGTAAACTGCACATGGCTTATGTTGCGCTTGGCGGCCTCGGCACGTAGCTCCGATCGTAGGGCTTCACGCACAACACGGGCCGCAATGTTGGAATACTGGATATAGGTAAGTCCAGCATCTCTCCAGACCTTCATCTTTCAGAATTCAAACAATTGACTGAAAAGTTTTGGAAATAAATGCGATAAGTAGGTCGAACCTTCCAATTGCAAAAAACAAGAGGGCCTTTACCTGCTTTGCAAACAAGGATCGGAAATAAAACAGGAAGCGAGGTTTCCTCCAAAAAGCCAGCTACACCAGAATTAATTTCTTTACTTCCAAGCAGTAACAGTATTACAGCTTAACTGCTTTACTTAAGAACTTACTTCCTTGTAGCACGTTTTAGAATGACAAAGCACGTTTTCCTTTTCGGATGTCTTACTTTTTCAGCCCAGGGATACAAAGTCAGCAAACTTCAAATGTGACTAGATTTCGATTTTTATTTTAAAACGAAATCGACACATTTAAGTTCATCGTTGTTGCTATCTTGACAAGGTGCAAAACAGATGATTAGTGTCGTTTGGAAAGTCTTAAATTAGTTCTTATAATCTTAAAATAATTATATTTAATATAATAATCTTTAAAAATTTATAAAATTACCCATAACTTCCGTTTTCGAATTTGGCACAACATTTAAAAATTAGTCCATTGAGGAATCACGTATTGTAACGAACTATTGAACTTTAAATATTTCCTTCAATTCATAAACCTGGAACATTTATAAAACTTTAATATTCGGCCATTCGATATTTGGTAGTACCATTTTAACATCAGGATTAATGCCGTGTCGTGTCATAACAGCCTAATCAAGGAGCGGCCAGTAAAGTTTTCTCTGCACTTGCGCACTCGGGCACACTAATTCCCCATTGATTTTTTCAACACGCGAGGTGGGAGGTTAAAGGAAATGAGTGCTCCTGATGCCAAAAAGATTGCCGAGGCTGAGGCTTTACTGGGACAGGTAGATAGTGCCGCCGATGAGTATGCCAAGGCTGGTATGTATTTCAAGGCTGCAACTGCATACCGCAATGCCAAAAGTTTGGATAAGAGCAAGGATTGTTTTTTGAAGGCCATCGACTGTTACATGAACAACAAGTCATGGTTCCATGCGGCCAAGTCCTGCGAGCAGATAGTCCTGCTGGCCAAAGAAACCGAAACACTAACCGAAGTTGAGGAATACGCCAACAAGGCTTGCAATCTCTATCAGCAACATGGTTCCCCAGAAGCAGCAGCTGCCTCCATGGATAAGGCTGCCAAGATGACGGAATTCAAACATCCCGAATTGGCACTAGAGTTCTATAAACGGGCCCTGGCCGTCGTCTTGATTGGTGATTCCACCCACCAGGCAGCCGAATTCGCCTCGAAGGTCTCCAGAATATTGGTCAAACTTAAAAAGTTCGAAGAGGCCAGTAAAGCGTTAAAAAAGGAGATAAGCCTGAATCTACAAACTAAATCCTATGGACAAGTTGGACGTTTAGTCGTTGCTTTGGTACTGGTGCAACTAGCACTCGATGATTTTGTCGATGCCAAAAAGACCTTCAAGAAATGGGGAAACCGTTGTGATCCCCAAGAGGTCAAAACACTGGAAACACTACTACAAGCTTTTGATGAGGAGGACCCAGAACTAGCTGCCAAAATGCTAGCATCTCCATTTATCAGACATATGGATGTGGAGTACGCACTTTTATCGAAAAACATTCCATTACCATCAGGTGTTCAACTGGAGAAAGATGGCGTCTCTAGTGCCGGATCCTTAAAATAGTTGTGAATTATCCTTATGACCCTTACGGTCCTTAAATGAAAAAGCTTTAAACATGTAGGAACACTGTTAACTATATACATAAATATAAAGTGTTAATAAAGAAAATACATCAGGGAAATTTCATCGTGCCTTTTAGAAATTAATATATTTAACCATTTTTATACAAACTATTTGTTATCCTAGAAACCATACATTTTTTTATACTTAAATCTTTACACTATTTTTTGTGAATTTTACACTACTTTTCAACAAATACCCAAAATTATAGTGCTTTTTTATCTAACACATTAGGTGCAATACGATGTCCGCTTAAAAGTAGGCAACGTTTTTAATCCCGTAAATTTTATAAAGCCCTTTTTCCAATATTTCAATCAGTAATAAATTTTGAAACCTATCGAAAAATCTTTAAAATATGAGTTTTGAAATCTACAATGCTGTAACTTACAGTATAAACTTTGCTTGAATGATCCTTTATTTACCAAGTTCTTGAGGTTCAACTCTTCAGCTAAGTTTAGGCTTACTTTTTATAGTCAATTCATTGAAATAATATCAATACACCCTTTTTTTCCGGTATTTTGAGTTTACGAACTTGGCTTACCGCTAAGCCTTAATTGTATTTTAAGTTAACAACCGGCTTATTGGACTTTAGATTGTTTTAGGTCTCTACTCCGTGCTTGTTTCTGCCGCAGATAAGATATAGTTCAACTTGTGAGTATAATTAGCAGTGTCATCAATATAATAAACCGCCGGACACATGCTTCAGTTTCAATCGCAGCGAAATCCAAGTGTCATTTCGCAACGAACAACGATGATTAAGTGTGGCCAGCAATAAGCGAAATCAAATTGCATGGCCCGCGGTTATTGTAGTTGATTTATTTAGAGTCCATCCAATATCAATTAGCGTTATCAGGCGCGCAATTGGTCAGTCAGTTGACTCTGGGGCAGTTATCAGTGATTTCTGGAATACTATTCGGTGATAAATACTTTATTCCCCTTTATGACGGGCAGTAGAATGCGAATGGGGTCCCCTTCGAGGAATCACACTGACCAAGAACCCTAAAAACTGTTACGCCAAACCTGGGGTCTTTTGATAAAATATGCACAAGAATGGTTCACGGTCTATTTTTGGAATACCTGTGTACCATAAAATGATATTGGTCAGTGTGAACTTTAAACGGAATTAAGCGGTCATTTTCAAATTGCACATACGCCCCGTTTAACCAGAAAAAAGGTACCAGAAATACTTGTAAAATGTTTAATTTATTATCTGTGATCTTTGCACTTAATGAACTTCACACAAACTGACTAGCTGAATTCTTGTTCTGTTCTGCATTACAATTAATGAGTATAAATTGTCTGGTCTGAGACGTAGCTCTCCTGTGTCGCCGGTTGTTGGATTGTTAAAATATATAGTTGGTAAACAAATTCGTTGTATTAAACGATTCTTTGGTACGAGTATGTCATTGGCTGCTCTCTTTGGAATATACACAGATATCCATCTTAAATCTACAGCAGGAACTTCTGGCCCGCCAGGATGAGCATTAGGGTCAGGGATACGGATGCCGTGAGTCCAGCGGCTCCCGATCGATCCTCTGGCTGCTCCACGAAGACCACAGCTCGATTGTTTTCGCTCTGGAGTTCCCGGAAGTTGTTGTGCAGCTGCTTGCCCTCCTCGTACTCGATCTCCTTGAACTCATTGACCTGGTCCAGGGTCACAGGGAAGGTCTCGGTGAGCACAATCCATGTGACGGCCTCGGCGCAGGTCGGTGTGGTCAGGGAGCCGGCATAGGTGAAGTAGCTCTCCACACTGGGCACTAGGTCATCCACAGCCAGGGAGTCTGCCACCAGGACAGGCTTGTTCATGCTATCGTAGCTCTTCACGGCTCCCAGGCTCTTGATGATGCTGCCGATGGCCTCGTTGGGCGTATTGGACACATGGAACAGCACTCCGATGACCACAATGCCATCTTTGAAGTTGGCCGCCATTGTCATGTTGGGGTAAATGGTGTTCCGGTGCACGATGTGCACTTCCAGCGGATACCGGATGTCGTTGATGGTGTGCTCTGACCACCAGTGCATGTGGATCTGCTCCACCACGAAGTCATTGGTCAAGGCGCCTCCACTCAGGGTCAGTTCGTGATCGAAGCCAGACAATTGAACTGTACAAAGAATAAAAATATTTAATTATTTCAGGGAACATTCCTGAATTCTGTAATATTTAACAACTCACTTGAATGTCCATTGTTGACCATTCGCAGATTTTTCTGATGCTCGTCGTAGTTCTCGAACTTCATAGGACTGAACTCTCCCTTCAAGGCCCCCTTGACATGCAGATTTATGGGCTCTGCTTCTTTCCAGTATCGCAAATACCGCCCCATTTTGGAAAGGCTGTGGATTATAAAGATCATCCATCAATGTCAAGAACACATGCTTTTGTTTTAAATTTATATACATTATGGAATTTTAATTCTGACACATGCCGGTTTTAACTTTCGAGAAATTTTGTAGAATTCAATTAGAATCTATTTTATTCAACTTGAAAGACTTTTAGTAAATATTGTTAAATCGCTGGAACCGTTAAATTAATGCTATATTAAATACTTTTCAATAGATACACATCGGATTCTTTTAAAAATGTATTAAAACCGTTAAATTAAATAAGACATAATATTAAATACTTTTCTCAAATATACAAATACAAACCAAGTTCTTTTAAATATTTTTAAATCAATAAATTATTCAAATATTTATTTCAATGCATTTTTGGTCAATTAAATGTCTGCACGAGCTAAACTTAAAATTAAAAGCCCATCAATCAAACTTTATACAATTGAACCCATCTTTAATCAAATAAAACCCCAATATGCTGATTATAAGACCATTTTCCATTTGGCAAATTTCTGCACAAGCAAAATTTTTATTTGAATTTAAACCCCCATAAATCAAAATTGAAGTAATTGAAGGCTGTTTTGTCAATTAAAAACTCTAGGCAGAAGTTCAGTTTCCGCAGAAATGTGCCCAAGTGGCGGTGGGCATTTATCATTATTCATGTTCAATTTGCATACACAACAATTTGACCCAATTTAACTAAGCTCGAGCCGAAAGCGTGCACACAGATGGATATAACCGAGCACTTTTGGATCGCTCTGGCATGCCACATATGTATGCAAAACACTTGGCAATCCCGAGCCAGAGATCCAGAGTGGCGTTGATTAACTAATTTTGGCGAATAAACTCGATTGGCTCTACTTACGCTCATCCTGATTGTTGTCCAAGTCCGGGTAGCCCCAATCGTTGGCCCAGCTGAGGGCCACAGAGCAGAGGACTGAAAAAAAGGCGAGAAAAAACAGGTGACAGATAAGTATCAAGTATCAAGTAGCCGCCGTGTGGGACCGCGAAATGGGAACGATTTAAATAAACTTCAACTTGACCGACTGAAATGCTTCAGGGGCAGCAGAAAAACAAACAGAAAAACAACAACCCAAGCACATTAAAAACTGCACCTCTTGATGGGCCATAAAAGCAATGGGACTGATTGTCAGAGGGTCAATCTGCACACATGTTTGGCAGCCGCATCAAGTGAAAACCCGGCACCTTGCACTTGACTCGGCTAAAAATAGCCCGGAAATTTATGATTTCAATCGTATATATTCCCGTATTTTAATGCCAGCTATATGTACATAAACGTATCATTAAATGTTCCCATATTCTGGTTGCTTTCTCCACCTAAAAGCATTTTGACAACCCGCCCATCAAAATATCAACTAATTTTAGTGCGTGCGGTTTTTTAGATTTTACGATCGATTTTGGTATTTAAAAACCACTGAGCCATCAACATAACTCGGCACTAACGTGTTTATTTAGCCATATTCCGCTTTAATGGGTTAATAAAAAAATGTTCGCCAACAAGTGTGATAATTTATGCTGTGCCTTTAATCTTTTGAGTATTTATGCTCGCCGTTTGGCACTTTTGCAAGTTGGCCTGCAAAAAGACAAATGACGACCGCAGCTGTGAAAGTAGAGTACTAAATATACCCAAGTATAAATACTATATGCCGTCTATAAACGTTTTAATATACTTTTTTCTGAACAGCTGAGGTTTCCTTAGTATAATCTTCGGTCGCCCCGTGACGCAACTTTTCGGAGGGAAAGATCTCTGAGTTATGGCATCTCTTGATTAGAAATAATATTTCATTTGGGTTTTAATGATTTTTTAATCATTTCCAGGCGGGAAGGTATTTCTATTTGAATTTGTAGTAGACTTGTATTGAAATGTTTTGAATTAGTGGCGTATCAAGAGTCATAAAGATATTTTCCTTTTAATTAAGAAACAATCACAAGACTTAATGGCTTCAACGTGAGTGCTTTGAGGTATTCACATATGTGATTGGGTAATGAAAGTTCCGTCAGCTGCCAAATTGCCAGGAATCATTTGATCTCGAATGGCTGAAAGTTGCAAACAAATACCTTCTCACCGAACATGCCACAAATGTCGAGCAGCCATTTAAAATGCAATTAAATTTGCACATGCAAACAACGGACAATTAAATTTGAGTGTCTAAAGCTTTGATAGCTGATAATGGGAAATGTTCTCTAATTTAAGGCCCACGGGGTGTAAAAGTTAACAAAACTGTAATTGCAAACGGCCAGAGAAAATGGGCTATAATCATGTGAAAAATCGCGCAAAATAAACAGCTGCATTTGCGAGTGGAAAATGCATTCCGCCTGTGAAGGCGTCAAGTGGAAATATCTTTTTTATATTCTTCCCGCTCTTGAGAATTGAAATATTCTGGCATTGGAACGAGTTGTCTCAACTGCTGTTTATTAAATCATTTTTGGCCTTGTCAACAGAAAAGAATCGAAATAATTTCGCTGGCCAAGCAAAAGCGATAAAGAAACAGTCGTCGTCTGTCACTTGGGTTTTTTGTCATTTCTGTTAAATCACCGCGGAATCGAGATCCCCCCAAATTAATAGAGCACTCAGTGATTTTCCAGGCCAAATTTTATTTACATTTTAGTGAGGCCTCATAATCAAAGATATCTCCCACCGATAAATGATTTCGGGAGTGCACGCGATTTAATTTGCCATTGTCTTAAGATTGGGGGCTCGTAAAGCCGTTGATAAGGTGCTATGTCCAATAAATACACCGCAGGTCATGTGAATTAAAACTGATTGACGTTATCGTTTGTCTAAATAAATGTTAAATAAATCAAAATTCTAGGTAGAGGTGAATTTTATCTATTAAAATGCGTGAAAGGGCAATAAAACGAAACAAAAAGATAATAAAGTATTTTATGATTAAACAAACTTCCGTTTAAATCGGCACTGATAAAGTTTATTATTTAAAATAAAAAGATTAAATTAAATATTACAAAGAACCTTCAAAAATTTGATTACTTCATAAGAAAAGCATGGGTGGGTGGAACTCCACCTTCCCTAAAATTAATCTAATCTTCTGAAAGGGAACATAGTTCTCTCATAATCAGACATATA